TTTTGTCTCTTTGTTTTAGAGGTACAATCTCCACAACTACACGGATGAGAGTTTGATAATGACATCAATAACTTCCTATGGCTAGGTCAAACCCGCTCCAGAAGATTTATTTGAACTTCTGTCATGTTCATACAAACGGGTGTACTCTATGCAGTCATGTTGCTGCTTGAAAAATGGACTGAAGTGTAGAAATATGTGTTTTTTGACGTGCGACAGCGTGGCTGTCATGGATGAGAACATAACTCCAGATGATAGTAATGTTGAAGACATAGACTTATATTTCTAATGCGTGGAATGAAATAAGTTACGTTGGAAACTTTTAGATAACTCAACTCAAAAATTGCTGCCTTTTAAAGCTTTCCACCAATTAAATAAAACTTTTAAAATCTTTTCTAACAAAACAAAATGACGGCAAGAGAAAAACATACAGCCACTTTTTCACGTGTCAATTTCTGAGGGAAAGCTACTAATAAAAACTTGCTATCAGATAACTATCAGATTGATAAATTTTTTATTTGCTCCTCTTCATTTATCCATCGTACCCCCTCAACTGATAGACTAATTTAGGAGACCGGAATATGCTTCATGATGAATTAAGACTTCAGTGGGAAGAAAGTACTTATAAGCAATAGTAGTTGGCAATTTTTACTCCGTATAGATTTATAAAACCTTGCCGAAAAGCATCATTGGATAATGTTAGCTATTTGAAGTAAGATTTTAAATCAAACTAAGTTAAATCAAAAGTTAAGCCTTCAATTGAGTAAGTCTTTAAAACTACATGATATAGTTGGCTTGGTCAGTTGCTCCACAACACAAAATGAAGTAGCAGTTTAGGATCACCCCCCTTGCCAGATATATTTATTTGTAAGCCAGTGCTCACGTGCTATACTCAAAACAATCCAGCATATTTTTCTTGGGAATCAGGTATAAATAGTGTTTTTGTCACAATTTGTTGAAAAAACAAGTTTGTGCAACTTTTATTGTGTCTTCTTTGCCCAAGTAATACAACTTCGTGAAACATGTAACAATGCATTTGACAAAATTGTGGATGTTGTTCTCTTCATTAGTAGTTCTAATGTCTGATAAAACTTTGATCAAGATCTCAAAAACTCGTTCTTATAAAGAAGAAATAACTTACTAACACACGTACAAGCCACAAATAGACCAAGTAGTCTTATATCATATATTTTGAAGTCTTACTTAAATAAATCGTCATTTCCGCTTTTGATAAGAATACAGATGGTTGACTAAACTTAATTTCTACCCGAAATTTGCATACGATGATTAATTCTACATTTTGAGTCAATTTTGAAATAAAAGTTTTTTTCTTGTTTAGAACAAGTTGTGTATCGTAGAGTTGTTCACTCCTTCGAATTTTCGAATCAAGATTCACAGCGTTTTAAAGTAGAAATAGCAGTAAATTTTTGCCCAAAATATTCTTCACGTCGTTTTATATTTGTAATAAGAAATTTGGCCCGATCAGAATTTTGCATGATATTGTTTGTAGAAAACAGTTTATTTTAAAAAAAATTTGTATCGTAGAGCATACGCATATGATTATCCATTCCACTGGGTACGCCTCTGTCGCAAAACATTTACTCGCTATGATTGGAGATTAGCCTTCAGTAACTCCTGTATGTCTTAATGCAGTACAGGAATATACGTAGACACAAAGTCGATAGGTTTATACAGTACTGGATTTCGCACGAACGAGTACCCGGAGTTAACTACATAGCTGGCGTATAATTGAAGCCTAAAGGTTGTAAATCTTAATGTGGCTATTGATTACTTAGCCTTGCTCGTAAAACTGGAAATGATGAGTCCATTAAAATGACTCTTCTACTCGAAACAATACTTTCGCATTTTCCATTTTCTCGACAACATTTGTAATCAAACACCTCTAGGAAACATATGTAACTTGAGGTGATTATAAGTGAATAAGTGATAAATATTTGCAAGATTAAGTAGACCGTATCAAAACAGTATGAAACTGCTTTAGTCGCGACGATATGTCATATTAAAATACATTAATCTTTTACACGATTCTTTGATGGCCGTAGTCAACGCTATACTCGTATATGCTGGGCTTTTACCTAACAATCATTTCTCATCATATCTTGCTACTGTCGAAAATCTGTTGTGTCTGTGCACAGGAATCACAAATTGCAAAGGTATTGAGACATGCTAATGTTTTGAAAGGAAACGGAAAGCTATTATTTAACCAAAAAGACACAACTATACTGACAAAAGTTTTGGTTATATGTCGTAGTCAGATAGACCACCAAATTTTGTTGTGTTGACAGTAAAAAGTCATAAAAGCTATAGGACAAATAACAACTTACCTGCTGGACTGACAAAAGATCAACAATCATGTGTCCTTAAGCTCTGTTCGTTCAACGTTCTTTAAAAAGTAAAGTCTTTATAGACGTATATTGCCGTTATAATCACAAAATATTTGTCCACTGATGTAGCATATCGACACGGAAGACAAAGTTAACTTTGCTAAGCGAAAGTGGGTATGACATGCTGACATCATCGCTATCAATATTAAATTTTCTGGGGGTGTAGATAAAAGAGGACGGGGACAACGGACGCAGACGGAGGACGTCTGTTTGCTGTGTGCGGGAATTGCCAGTGATTTATTATAGGAGTTTGACAGTAATTTAAACGAGCTTTATCTCATTGGATGAATTTCTTTGATCTCATTATTTAAAGCAATACATGCATATTGTACAAGTTTAAATATTCAGTCAGTCCTATAGAGTGTAATGCAACAAAAACCTCATAGTTAGATATAAACCATCTCAACACTTCTAATTTGAAAAATTTAGCCATAGTTTCCTTTTGAAACTTCGCACAATCCTTGCGCTCCTAGTTTTGTGTTTCTTTCGTGACTTGTCAGTAACATTTCACTCAAGTTGGCCTTAAATGGATGGGCCTGATAATTTTTACTGCACTGATAATAATTTCGGTCATCTTGTCGTTTGGCAAACAGTACGCGTAGTGCAGTTTTCCACTTTAACTTCCTTTTCAAAGTTACGGCTTAAAGCCGTAAAAATGACAATAGTTCAGCCGACAAGTCAAAACTGAAGTAAGAACTACAACAGCTTCAAAATAACGAAAACATGTTTTTTAAAAATGGCAATTCAAGTATTTTCCGAATGCAGACGACGTGTTTTCACGTTTGCTGTAATACCATTTGTTCGGCTATTTTGATAAATATTATTAGCTAAACGCATTCAAAAGCGTTTGTGATATTTCCGTACAACTTAGAGTCAAATTTAACATTCTGTTTTACAGCATTCTTTTGGTCATAGCAATAAAATATCGTCGCTAGGTTAGTTTTCCGTTAATATTTCTTTGTTAAAAGAGCAATATACTAGTTCTTTGTTCATTGGTTTGATTCTTTCTTTTTGTTGTGACGCGTGAGAAAACTGTAGTGATAGTGATTACTGTTAATAATTTAAAAAGAGGGATTGACTCATGTTTTACAATTTAGTTACCGTTCGTATCAAAAAATGCAAGTAATTGTTTCTAACACAAAGAACTACCACAGTGAATCAAAGTTAAAACAAAGAGGGTTGAAGAATTTTCAACAAGCAGAGGAGTGAAAACCTCGACAAATATTCTTATTGTATTCTCGTAAAGTAAATTACCTAAAGAAAATTCATTGTATAAGTGCATGCAAAGTTTTTCCTTACTTATGGTTTCAATTTATACACATTTTCTTTGTCGTATGACTTGAGTAACATAACAGTGGCTTTTATAAAATTAGAAATGCAAAATTGATAAACTATGTACATAGTACCGTTTGAATAACAAAAATTGTCCTTTCCTGACCAGTTTCGTACCTTTTTATTCATTATTGCTTTTTGTGACTCGTAGCTATACAAACTGAAATTTAATACTTTTTTATAGTTTAAACAAGACGTTTCCGAAGAGGCTGTCGTTTATGCCCATGACAATGATTTCAGTGAAAGAAGTTCAATGAGCGAAAGTTTTGAAGGGTGTGTCCTGATTGAATCTGCTTAGAGCATCCAGTGCGTGGGCATCCGGTGCGTGGGAGCAGAAATATGTCAGCGGCTTGTATTGACGTCATATCGTCAATTGATCCTCAAAGCTTTATGTAAAGTCATTGCACAGTCATAATAAACTTGCGTCAAAATGCTTCTCCTAATCACAAAATGTTTCTTTTCGAAACGTCAGAATTTTTTTATTCGTAGGTATATACACAAGCAACTTTTATAGCTTACATGCAAGTATTGAGCTGGTTATTTGTATTCTGTTTTAATAGAACGGTTTCACATCCATAAAGGCCATTATCGCACAGTTTCCGCACTACATATAGAACTTGAATGTCGATTAATATTATTTTTTAAAAAATACGAAGGTTTCTTTGTGTGGAAACTGTGCGTAAGGCCGTTTGCTTGTCCTCCGAATTCAACCTTAACAACAGTTTCCACTGATGTGAAACCAATCTACTGTCCTTAATAAGCATTGAATAATAATAAACATGGTTGTGTAACTCATTACGGTTAGAAAATAATCCTACATAAAACCATTGTAAAAATAGCCTTTCATGCATAGAATTAAGGTGTAGTTTCCTTGACGTAAAGTATGAACTTATAGTTTCCTAATTATTGTACATAATTTGCCTTTTTTAAGTCACATTTGGGACGAAAATTTATTTCCTACGCACGAAACCATTGGTATAAATAGAAGTAAAATTAGAGACTACGCAGTAGAGTTGTTATTTGATAAGAAAAGTCGTACTTCTTTCTTAATAAAAATTCTATAACTAAGAATCAGAGTGCAGATCAATTTGGACGAACTAAACGAATTCTGCGACAATGGTCAACTGTTGTGTTCCGGGTTGTACAAATTACTCGTCGAAGTCAAAATCTTCAGGTGTTAGTTTCCACCTTATTCCGAAAGACCCTCCCGTCAAAAGGCATGGATTGCTAGAATACGGAGAGAAAATCTACCTCCTCTCAATACTGTTACGTTTGCAGCGAGCACTTTGCTCCCGATTGTTTTAAATCGGACCTAAGACAGAAACTTACACCATGGCAACCTTTAAAAAGGCGACTGAAGCGGGATGCAGTACCATCGATCTTTTCATTTGGCCCTCAACCCAGTAAAAAGCGTCTGTCTAGCGAGCATCGTACAGAGAAACGTCAGGCTGATCAAGACAAGGAGGAAGTTAGTAAAAGCATTTCTTGTTAAATTTTAATCAAGAAAAAGTTATAGCCTAAAGTATATTCTAAATATTTCTATTTTTTCTATTTTCAGCTTTTAAATATTTTAGAACAATGTTCCTCCACAAGTACAAATGTTTTCTCAGTGATTGAGCCTGAAGCAAATAACAGTTGTGATTTGGGTGCGTCTGACAGTCCTGAAGCATTGCCAACTAATTATTGCAAGCCAGAAACCAAAGATGCATCAACAGTGTTCATTTGTTGTGAGGAGTTTACATGCCATGGAAGTCCAAACTACACTGTCGATGCTGAATACTGTGGATGCAGAGGTTCAAGTTGAGGAATCTTGCTTTGAAAGCAACACCTCAATGTATGAACAGTGCTATTCTTCTGATTTTGAAGAAGCATCATCACAGATAACAGAAGAGTCTTGTGATAATGTTCATGACGACTGGTTCACTCAGGTGTCAGAAGACTCTACAACTGATGATGAAGCAATCCAAATTGAACCCCAAGAGGAAAAGAAATATATTGTTTTCAAGTCCTGTCTTATTAGTCTTCTTTCAAAGTGTCTTTCTTGTGGAGAGACATTAATTGAATGTGAAGAAAACACTGTAGGTAGTTTACTATCATTTAATCTTTTTTGTATAAATGGTCATCACACAACATGGACATCTCAACCACTCATAAGGAATGTCCCAGCTGGAAATTTGCTTTTGGCTGCATCAACTTTATTTAGTAGAAACACTTATGAAAGAATCAGCCAATTTGCATCTTTCATGAATCTTGAATTTATTGGAAAACCAGTTTTACAGCCTTCAAAAGCAGTATCTTTTCCTGTTGTTGACAAAGCTTGGAAAGAGGAGAAATCAGCTGTTATTGCCAAAGCTAAGAAGTCTGGTAGTCTTAATGTGAATGGTGATGGTCGATGTGATAGCCCAGGGCATAATGCCAAGTATGGTACTTATACAATGATGGCTGACTCTGGTAAGATAGTAACTTTTAATGTTGTGCAAAGTACTGAAGTCAGTTCTTCTAATGCTATGGAGAAAGAAGCATTTGAAAGATGTCTGTCTGAAGTTGAAAAGCTAGTTCCTGTTAAGCGAATAACAACAGATAGACATGTTTCGATTGCCAGTGCTATGAAAAACAAACACCCTCATATTGATCACCAATATGATGTGTGGCATTTGTCTAAATCTGTCATAAAAAATTAACAACGAAGGCTAACATTAAGGGAAATGATGACTTGACCCATTGGATTAAGTCCATTTCTAATCATCTTTGGTGGTGCTCTGCAAATTGTAACAAGAATGCAGAAGAATTGGTGGAAAAATGGATGTCTGTCCTTAACCACATTTCCAACAAGCATTTCTCGAAGGGGAACACATATTTTCATCAATGTTGCCACCAACAATTAACAGAAAAAGAAACAAAGCAGAAGAAGTGATTATCTCCTACTTCACAAGCATATATCGCTGCAGAGAAGGTGATATGTGACAAGAGGCTTCTAAAGACCTGCGGAAGCTATCTGAGTTTTGTCACCCAGGAGAGTTGGAGGTTTACCATTCCCTTTACTGAAATATTGCCCAAAGCGAGAGCATTTTTCATTTCCTGGGATGGTAGCCCGCACTCAGTTAGCAGAATTAGATCACAACAACAATATTAAACGTGATAAAGCAGTCATTAAGTCAGGGACAAACAAAGGGCAAGACCATTACAAAATGATTTTTGCTAAAACACAGAAGCAATGGGTTGTAAAAGCAATGAAAGAAAAGAAAGAGTACCAGTACATTGATAAGCTACTTGCGGAGGTTGTGAATGCATGCAAAACTGAGGAGATTGAACTTGTACATCATGGCAAGAATCTTCCAAAGAACATTTCTAAATTATGTCCACCCAGGAAAGAAGTACTTGTAAAGGAACATCAGTCTACATTTGCATAAAATGTCAGTGGTGATGTTAGCTATGGCAATAGGTTTTGCCATACCCATGTAATATGACGTTGAATCAGTGAAGACAACTTGTGTACTACTTAAAAAATGTTCATTCTTAAATATTAACATAGCAAAACCTTTTGCTATAGCTAGTTTCACCACTGCATTGCACAAACTATTCATGTAATTAATTATAGTTATATTATAACCAGGGTAATAGCCAAGCCACATTTATAATCATTTCTTTGTAAATCTGTTTTTTTTTGTAATAAATTAATAATAATAAATGTGCATAGCATGACCTATAAATGAGCTGGCTATGTCACTTTAATATTGACATACAAAGTAATTGTAATGGGTATACCTATATCATAATAAAATACTTCATTCATCAACATAGTGAAAGCCTTCAAATTGAAATTCCTCTGCAAGGCCAGGTGGAGGAAATGTTTCTCTAATGCGAGTAACTGCACATGATGGCAAGATGACTCTCACTTCTCTACCCAAGACACCCCAGCACCATCTTGCCAACTGTCTATATGCAATATGGCAGTACAGTTTGTCTTCGGGCCCATCATATGCTACCTCATATTGCTGCTTGTACTGGTACCAAGCTGTTTGTAAAACCCACCTGTTAAGACAAACAGGCTCAAAACCAGGATGTTGTGTAATGCACAAAGGGACTTCGGTGGTCTCATTCGTTTCTACTGCCTCTAAATTTTGTCACAAATATTGGAAATCTCTTTGCAGCATAAACATTCCTCGTTATTATCCATTATTTGGCAGTTACCACATTGACACCTGAATATGTTAAAAGAAAGGATCTTGAAAAGTAAATGTAAAACTTCAATAAAAATTGTATCTTACAATAAAAACTTTAAAATCTAAAGTATTATGTGTGTGTGGACGTGGTCAACTTCAAAAACTGAAAACGTACTTTTGAGATAGAAACATTGGTCTAGAATAATATAACATTTTACTACCCACCATTCAAGATTGTCGCGCCGAGATTCATCGTCAATATACAAAAATTCCTGTTCTTCGTTATCCTCAAACTGGTGAGCTTCTTCGTGTTCATCAGCCGGCCATTTGGGCTCAAACTGATATGGCCGAATATTGTTTGTTGGATTGTCTTCTATTTCACTATCGATTGGTGAATTAGGCCGAGGTTCTTCCAAAAAAGCCATTATAAGCAATTATTTTGTTTTTGTGCTAGATTGTGCGTTATTATTTTACTTTGTTGTAAACTCAACTCCAAATCGGTTTGACGATATGACGTCAAAATAATTTCCGCTGACGCTTTCTGTGCCCACGCTGCTAAGCCTCAAAACAGCTCAAATAGCGCACTTGAAGACGCGATTTTGTCAAAAATAAAATAGCTGATGTAAAAATTTCAAAATATAGTAACCTTTGCATAAAAATGGAACTTTTAAGACCAACATTATTTTTGGGTGGAGTTCCCCTTTCAGAAAAAACTTACATCTTTACAAACGACTTTAAGCTGGTATAAAAAGACAAAAGCATCTTTGAAGAAAAAGGCCCAGAAGTTGCAAAATGAATATCGAAGCGAAATCAGGGAAAATCGTAATACATCCATCAGTCCATGAATTGCATAATTTTCTACGAGGGAAGCAGTTATTGACACTACATGTGCATGCTTTGTTGTGTTTACATCTTGATCAAAAAAGATTCTACAGAGAAAAAGAGATTAAATAGAACACGCAAATTATGCGCACGTTGTGTGGGATATTGCATTCTTTTGAGCTTGGCAATAAAATTGTCGTAACTATGTTAGTTTCACTTTAACATTTCTTTGTTTTAAGTACGTTTTGTAAGTTCTTTGTTTAGTTTCTTCTTTTTTGTTGCAACGCGTGAGAACTTGAAACGCAATGAAAGAGTGAATACGGCTATTGACGTAAAGGAAAGCTCGACTTACGTAATTACCGATACTATAAATAACATGTAAATAATTAACTCTAATAGATAGCGTAAAAATACAACAGTGATGTACTTGTAGATTGTTTGGCTTGTAAAATAAAAGGCTCAAAACGAAGAGTGTTAGTGAACCAGCAGAGTGGCGGAATCCTCGACACACGTCATTACAATCTTAAAGCAAAGTTTTACAACAAGAACAAGTAAGGACATTATAACAGATTACTTTATGGTTGGTCAGTGCGTACGATTTTTATGTACGAGTTGAGAATCAATTAGGTGATTGTTTTGAAGCGTTTCAAAACATTGAAGTGACAAAAAGTGCTAAAAACCTGAAATGTTAAAGGATAGAGTGAATAAGTATTCTGAATACTAACACAAGTAAGGTAATAAATCTTAAAGAAACTTTATTGAATGTTCTTCATTGTTTCGATACGATTTATCGTTGCACTATGGTGAAAGCCGGGAGGGCACATTGTTATACACTATATATATATTATATATGTACAAAGTGTATATACATTGTGCCCTCCCGGCTATCACCATAGTGAAATGGTGACTCCTGCACTTGGGACACAGGACGTACGGTTACACATTATATGGATTGTATTGTAGAATCACTACAGTGCTCAAACCTATAAAGGTGAGCTTTGCATATCGCGAACACGTTGAACGTCTCCATATGAGACTCTCCACACAATCCGACAGTGCTCAAACTACGCACGCGCAGTGAGCGTAATATACAAAGTGTATTACAATGTGCCCCCCGGCTATCACCATAGTGAAATAGTGACTCCTGCACTTGGGACACAGGACGTACGGTTGACTCAGCACTTTTCAGAATATTTTCATGCACAATATTTGGGAAAGTATTGCCCAAAAGAAAAAGTGGTAATAAAGTGTTTCTATCATCTTTAGCTTTTGTTTAAGAATATACAGGGGAATTGCAGATTTCTCTGAACTTTTTTTTTCTACCGACGACGTCATCAAACACGACATTCGCAGAAGTCGTTTTAAATGTAAAATATGGGCTGGCCCTATATCAAAATTTTGTGTTTCTAGGCATATTAAGAATGTGAGAAAGTTTCATACTTGTAATATCAAAGTGAACGGTTAGGTGTTTTTTTTGTCATTAACAGCTGGACTATTTGAGGTGTTTGATTACAAATGTTGTCGAGGAAATGGAAATTACGAAAGTATTGTTTCCAGTAAAGAGTAATTTTAGGTCCCATACATACGTATTCGGATATATGATGAACTCAGAGCATTTCCAATTTACAAGAGCTTAAAATTGAAAATTTGAATTTTGTGTAAGAAATTACAAACGAGTGTCATTTGGAATGAGAACCTGCAATCCCACTCAGCGTTTTAGTGATTTTACAACATGTTTATTACATTGAAATGGAGAACATAGGGTTTTTAGTGAACATGGAATTGAGAGATAAACTTTTTTTACAATATCA